TCTAGGTTATGGCAAATCTTATAATTGAAACAAAACATCATTTCTATTTGTCGTGACTCCATTGATTTAACGTAAAGAGATGATGTATCAGTAATTATAGTTATATTTTCTTTGACTCTCAATTGAAATACTTGTTACTTTTAACAAATTTTCTTGGTAATTTTATTCAAATCCATAATCATTCAACTATTATGTTCTTTTATGTAATGATATCTGAACAGAGAATGCACCATAGGTAAAAATTTATTAGTTGCATATCTGAATTGTCAAATAGGCTATTTTATCAATGTGTCAAGATATTAAAAATATAAATTTGCAAGAACTTTTTAAAATCATATTTATAGATTTATTTTTTCAATGTAATAGACATAAAATAACAAAGATATTGGTTTAGATGGTTACTGATAGAAAAGGTATTTACAAGCCTTTTTTCTAAAGGCATCAAAGGATATGTATTAAGTAGGTCTGGGCAATAGGTGAAACAATCAGTGCTAATAACAGTGGACGTTACTGTTAAATTTAAAATTTTCTTTTTGTTGACATACTGCTACATCGATAAAGACCATAAGCATTTCAGCAAAAATCAAATGTTTGCTTTTTAATTCTTTTGTAGGTTTGCATGAGTTACAAAAAACTAAATTTTGTTATATTAAACTCACAAATATTTTCACTCACATTTAAATTTTCTTTCACAAAGTTTCATGCCTCTCAGTTGGTTTGACTTTGAGTGGGAGGTGGGAAGAGAGATTGATTTAAAGCTGTTTTTTTTTTTATTTTATTTGTAACATTAAAGAAGTGTATGTCCTAATTTTGCTTTGGTAAGCAGTGAAGTGCCATGTAATTCAAATTATATATTTGCAAGCATTGATTGACATCTTGTTAGTCTCACTTTATATAGTAGTACAATGATAAAAAAAAATCCCTCTGGTCATATTTATTGATGATAAATTGTACTTTTCCTTCATTCTAAGAAAATTGCTGCTGCTTTTTTTTATAAATAACATTTTGCGTGAGCTGAGCAATCAATTAACTTCTTTCATTCTGCATGGAAAGTAAAGAATCATGTTTTCTCTATTGATCTCTATTTTTTTTAACATTAATAAGCATCCAATTTAGTTATTAGTTACTTTTCTCTGTCAGTGTTCGTTGAAAAGGTAAGTATTTGGCACATACATTGTGTGATTGTGGAATTAGCATTTTCAAATCCTGCAATATCCATTAGATTGTTTTTTTATCATTACACATATTCAGTTGAACTTGAAATTTAAAAAGTTTTGGTTCTTTAATCTTTGGCAAACAATATAAGGTAGAAGTAAAATAAAAACACACTGTCCTTTAGTAGCATATGTGCACACCCATATTTCAAGATATTACCTATTGATACTGTCTTCAACTTAAATAATGAACTGCACTAATGTATAAGCAATCTAATATTGCCATTTGTTATTCATGCTCAAAGAAACCAAGTAAATGTCTTTAAAATGTAGGACTATAGTGTTCATGCATTAAATGAGATATGTATGTCATGGGCCAAGATAATAGCAAATTAATATGAAAACATCACCCAAATAACAAGAACTTACAGGCAATTAAGTTTCAACAAAACAAGTTATTTATTTTAAAAATTGTGTAATGAACTTATAAGAGAGAGAATTGTTGAATAAAAGGGTCAATTGTAAACAATTGTTACTGAAAATTATTTTTAGAATGAGATAGTTATTTTGTGCACAAGTAACACACAATAGAAGGATCAATGACAGAAACACTAAATGTATAAATAGTCACTGGTATTAGAAAAAAATATAAAAGCCTTTAATATCCTAAACTTTAATATGCATAAACTTAATTTTTATTTAAATGTGCAATTAAATTTTATACCTATTTAAGTGTTCCATTAGATAATTATTATTTTGTTTTTAATTCATGTTAAAATTGTTTTTTAATTAGTGAATTTTTTTTGTGGAAAACCAGTCAGCAGTGTTCTGATGATCTTTGTGACTTTTTTTAAAAAGCCATATATATTTAGCAAGTGACCTAACCAAAATCTTGCTTTGCAAGTTGAAAGGCCAGTTAACCTCTTCCTTAGCTCTAATCCCAAAGTTAAGTGCAAAAGTTCCTCTGTTGAAAGTGGACCCTTGAAGGGAAACAGTTGAATTTGGTTTTATAACATTGATATTTTGAACATTGTAGCTATGATTTCTTTTTGTTTAATTATCATATTTGATGGCATATAAGTCAATCCCCAGCCCCATTTACAGTCTTATAGGGTTAGGTACAAGTACTGGTCGTCTGCAGTATCTATGTAAACATTAATCTACCTAACTTCATTTTGGCAAGTGGGAGGAATTATAGGTTATTGTAGGTCATCCATATTTCATACTACTTGTTTTTGCTTCCTTTTATTGATACAAATTCATCTTCTTTTATTATTGATAAGATGTTTCATTATTCCCCTAATATAAGATCCAGTTTTTCTTGTCTGGAATACTTGTCTCTGCTTTTTTTTTTTAATAAGACTGATTTCCAGTTAAATTTAATTTTACTCTTTTTAATTCTTCTATAAGTGTGTATATATATATATATATATATATATAAAAGAATATTTCTAAATAGAAGAACATGCTATTAAAAATTATATCAAATTATATATTTAGCTTAATTTGTGAGATTAGATATTATAAAACCAGTAAAAATAATCATCTGGTTAAAATGAGTGCATCTCCAAAACCCTCGATGACCAGAGCTTGGCAGCTGATTTCTCCTCTGACCTAACTCTAGTAGCTCAGTAGGAAAAAACTGGCTGGTCACATTCAATGTTTAGTGACCTAGTGACCTTCCACCATCACTGACTGGACCCAGAACTTTCACCAATCGTGAACAGATGTTCCCTTATGGAGGTCCCTATGTCTTGAGTGCCTATCAGGACTTAACCTCAATATGAACCTCTAGTGAAACTCGTACACATGATACATCACTGAAGATGCTGGAAAAGTGATTGGTTCCCTGTACTGCTACAGCAAATACCTCGGTCCTCCTGCTATCCTCTACCTTTACAAGAGGCTGAAAATGGAATACTGCTGACATGTATTAGTTGGAGCCACCCAGTCTTCACTTTCCACTCTTGATAGCCCAAAAGCCACACCATGTCCTTGTAGGTGACATTATTTTCCACTCTGCAAATCTCTCACTGCTCTATTGCTGTTTCCATGATGAGTGTTCAGATGAACTACACCTCTTAATTCTAACCTTCATGGCTAAGACCTGCCACGCACATTCCCCCTCATTCCCTTCATATCCCCCTGGTGAGATGCAAGTTCTACTCAAGCAGCTTCTTCCCACAAACTGCTGCCTTGTACAACCAACTCTCAAGCAACTGCTTCCTCAATCACTACAATCTTAACATATTCAAGTCTAGGGTTAACCATTATCTTCCGTATATATCCACATAAGCTGTACCTCTTAATCTGTAACCCTCTATCTTTAGTGGCCCCAGAGTCCTTATAGAGGGTGATCACCTCTGTAAAAAAAACACACACACACACACACTGCAGTAATATCTGTTAGTTAATAAAATAGTTTAGAGGGATAACATTGGCTGAACCAATATGGTGAGCTTATTGACATATTCAATTTATATTCATTGTGTTGCTAATTCTTATACTAACATTAGTTATGGCATCATACATTCATTTATTGAGTTCAAATGATCCTATGTAGTTAGTAACCTATATTGTAAATTATTTACCATTCTTTATTCAAGAGAGTAATGTTTTGTGCTCTCCAGATCACAAAAATGTTAAAGAACTCAAAGTCCATTGAAAATAGTTAATAATAGCCATGTGACTACAAGCTTATCAGTTTTTATGGAACACTTCTCATACATAAAGGCAAGGATTGTAAGAAAATGGAATTTACTTGTATATTTCTTCAGTTGAAAACTGAAATATATTTCTTTTAAAGATTTCAAAATAAATATTTTTGTATATTTCAAGTACATTTTTGTCTATTAAAGATGAAAACATCCATTATACAGTATTTTATGAAATAGATTTAAATATTCTTTGTCACGAAATAAGAAATTAATGTATGAGAAAAAATACTTATGGCAATTTATATAAACTATTTAATTTTGTAAAAGCAAGTCACTTTTTCTTTTTTTATAAGATTTCTTTAATATTAGAATAAAATTTGTTCTTTAAATTTATTTTTTATAACCTTAACTAATCTACACAGCCACTTAGTATAAAATTATATGAAAGATACATCTATAAAGCTTCATATTCAAAAAAAAGTAAAATATTTTCTGAAAAATTAAATTTTTTAAAATTTTATATATTTATAATTTAATTTCTTAAATTATTTACTTACCAAGAGAGCAGAATAAATATAGTTATTCAGCAAATCAGATGAATGTCACTGAAAATAAAAATCTTTTCATATGTAAAATTGTTTATGAAAATGTAAACAGTAACAAATTATTTCAGCTGAGATGATCTTGTTTTGTTTTTTGTTCTAATCGTTTCAACAATAACAACTACTTCCTTTGTTCCTTCTCCACCTCCCTAAGTTGGTTATTTATTTTTTGAATATTAATACTATGTGTAAATCTGTTTGTCCATCACCACATCCTTTTATTTGTGAGTTTTTCTGTTTACACATTATTTTCTAATTTATTTATTTTTGCTAAGTATTCAAACACTCGTATGATGAAAACTTGATTTTCTTTTTATGTTTTGTTAACCTGTTCTTCTGCACTTCATAGCTGATCACATTTAACTCGAGACTTCAAATAAGAATAGTGATTTGGTAGTGTTTTTTTTTTCCCTTAACAGTGGCCCAAACCCCTAGTCTTATTTGAAGTATTGAAAAGATAATGAGATTTTTATGAAGTCTTTTTTCTTCTCTCTCATGTGCAAGTCATGCTAATGATCCTGCAACCAGACATCCTAAAGGTCATTTTTGGAGGCTCACAGACTCAATGTATCTTCTGCTATTTTCAGGCTGAAGCCAAATTGGCTGCAAAACGAGCAGCAAGGAATGAAGCCCGTGAGATCCGAATGAGGGAACTTGAAAAACAACAAAAAGAAGTAAGTGTTTTCTTTTATTCTCTACCCCAACTTGTGTGTTAATTTTAGCTTGGATCAATTTTTCTTTCTTTCAGCTCTTTTTACTTGTAATTGCAAAATGTAGAAAAATGAGCAATGCAATCAAACACAAAAAAGGCGGGGGTGCAAATATGGAATTAAACTCTTGGAGAAAAGTTGGTCTCATGAGAGACAACCACTGGTGTTTCCTCATAATGCACAAGCATTTTTTTTTCTTTTTCAAAGTTTAGAATTTCAAATTTCATATGTAAGTTTTCATTTCTCGCTCATTCAGGTACTCAGTTGAATGTTATTTAACTTTATTCTAGTATCAGTATTTTTAGTTGTCAACTACCTTCTGTTGCATACTTGGCAATAGTTTATATTTTCACATGGAGGTTATAATAAGTCAATGTTCAAATGTAACATATTGTAAGATACTTTTATGATTTCTTTCTTTTTATATATCATCCAGAAATATATATATATATATGTGTATATTTGGGCAGCAATTTTTCATTGATGCATGTTTCATTAAATAATATAGACAAGTTTTGTCTACTTATTTTAAGTAAGTTCCTTTCATATTGTCTGATAAATTTAATAACATTATCATTGAAGGTCGAAAGGAAATCACTATATTGATACATGTTTAAATCCAATCTAAGCTTTCGGCTTACATAAGCCATTATCAAAGATAACAATTACTTTTCAATATCTCAACCAATACACGGAATAATAATAATAGTCTGTTTTTGTTGCATGAAAAATTTCAAAGCAACGACTAACGCATGTATATGAGACGCGGAAATGGAAATTGCGTCAGGGCTCGTGACGTCACACATGACCACACGAAAGTGAAAATGAGAAGTATTAAGTATGGGAAACCGTTGGTATAAACCAATGGCTTCGGTTATCAATTATAGACATTTAAGAATATTTGTGGAGATTTCATAGTTTATTTTGTTCATGTTAGGTTTCAACTGTTTTATGTATATAGCTTCAAGAAGTTTTTGTTTATTGTTTTCATGTTTAAGTATAGTTGTGTTTTCAACAAGGGTAGAATCAAGCGTCATAAAAGCAAGTTTGTGGTGTGACCAACATAAATATTATTTAATCCATTGGAAATACAATCTCCCAAAGGGCACTTGAATTTGTAAACTATATTGGTTTTTTGCAAATTGCTAATGGGGAGTGGGGAAGAATCATTGCGAACAATTAAGTTGGATATACTGGATTTAGTGTAGTATATGATTAACCTAATTTTTTTGCTAGGATCTATTGTAGATATATTAGTATTTACTAATTTTTTTAGTATATTTTCATCTTCACTCTCGCATGGTTATGTGTGACGTCACAAGCTGTGACATGATTTCTGCTTCCACGTCTCATATACACGTGTTAGTTGTTGCTTTGAAATTTTTCATGCAACAAAAACAGGCCATCATTATTGTTCCATGTATTGGTTGATATATTGTCATCTTTGATAATGGCTTATGTAAGCCAAAAGCTTAGATTGGATTTATGTATCAATATGGTGATTTCCTTTTGTCCTTCAATGATAATGTTTTTAAACTTATCAAACAATATAAAAGGAACTTACTTAAAATAAATAGGCAAAACTTGTCTATATTATTTAATGAAACATGCATCAATATATATATATATATATATATATATATATATATATATATATATAAACAAACAGCAAAAAGTATTCACAAGACAATACAAATGTACACTGAGCAGTTAAATAAGGCAGAATAAAATTGTAAAAAAAAAAAAAAAGAAAGTTGTTTTCTTTTTGTTAAAAACAACTAAGTGAACTAAAGAATTTCATTTCTTGAGTTAAAAATTTTTTTTCTCTCTCTCTTTCTCTTAGGTGAATGCACAGAAATGGGCTACACTTGCCTGGTACTAGGAATAAATCAGCAGACCTGAAAATAATCAGTCTTCTATTATATTTACCACTTTAATAATATTGTAGGGATTCTTTGGGACAAAGGTGGTAATGGGGAGTCTACCATGAAGAAGAAAAATTAGTGAAGAGATTTCATTTAAAATGTTTTTGTGTTTTCTCTTTGTTTACATGCTTGACTACTTGGCTGTCAGTCTCTGGCAGTGTTAAAATATTTGGTTTTAGAAATTGTTGGATGCTGCTTTTATGACACTTAGTGTTTGACAAGTGCATATCACCAGAGCAATCAATGAAAAGATTTTTTTTTGATGTTGGGGAGGGGGATGCTAAAGAAAGGATAAAAGGTGAAGGTTTTCTATTGATCTGTGAGCACACTGCAGCTGCACATAAAATAGGTTGTGAATTTAATTTATAGTTTGGTTAAACAGATCTTTATACAACTGAGCTTTTTTTCTTTTTTTTCTTTACAGTCTCTTTATTTTTTCATATGTTGTTTGCTTTATTGAAACTTTTTATTTTATGGCTGTCCATATTTGTTGTTACAAATACTTCAGCTGACAATCTGTTCTCATCTGAGACATAAATTTTTAATTTTTGATCAAATAAAACATTTGAAACATGGTTACTCTAGATTGCCTGGAGTAAAATTTTCTTTGCATATCACTCCAAATGGACATGAGCAAATTTATTTTGATATTTTGTCAACTGAACTTCCAGTTTCATCAGAAATTAAAAAAAAAAATAAAGCCTAATGACATTGGTTGAATCCAGTGACTTCATCCAAAGTGTTGTGAGTTCAATACCTGACTACTGCAGTGGTGAACAAAAATTTGGAGAGTTGAGTTAAAGGGAGATGACAGATATCTGGAAGAGGCATGGCATGTGGAACTTGAACAATCTGCCCCAGTAGATGAAATAAAGGGTTCAGTTTGAAATTTCAACCACCTGAAGAAGGCCAGAGCGTACAATGGCCAAAACATTGTGAATATGGCAATAAAGATGAAGACAACACTCTGAATAATGTAAATAATTACAGTACTTCATCTCAGATATAGACAAATAAAAAAAATAGCCTGTTTTAATTCCTCCATTTTGTATAAACCTTCTGGAACTGAATCTTCAAAATCTTTTTTTTTTTTTTTTTACTTAATTTTTTTTTTTAATCTGTTTTGATAAAGTAAATAATCTGTTAAATTTAGAATATCTTGAAATTCTTGGAAGATAAAGCACTTTCATGCAATATAGGATACAGTCTTAGGAATATATATCCAAACTATCTCTTTGTATATTTCTTGTTGGTATCAATTTATAGCTGATTCATTCTTAAGTCTTCAAGTGTCATCCTTGGACAAAGGAAGATAGCTCAAGAATGGATCAGCCAAAATACTGACAATATATTTTATCTAAATGCCCAGAAGTTATTTTGTTTCTAATTATAGAATGCTTAGAAATGTGAGATATTAACATGTTTTTCTATTGATAATTATTTAAGTTTACACTTTAAGAGCAAGTTGGACATGAGTTGGGGTTTTCATTATGTCAGGAAAAAGTGAAATCATTAAGATTAATGCCTGGCTACACAAAAAGCCAGATGAAGATGAAAATAATGATATTGAATATGTGACAGAACAAAAGCAAGTTTTTAGTTTGAAATAAAGCAGGGTGGTATGAATTTGGAAATTACAAACAACCGAGTTTGCTGCTACTCCCCACTTTCTTGACAGCTGGTACGTTGTATTGTCTGCAGCCAAAAATAAACTTGGTCACAAAAGTTAGTTCAGTGTGTCTTCTCTTTATAAATAGTATTTAAAGAATTATATAACAGTGACCTTTTTGTTGTATGATGACATTTAAAAAAAGTGACTTTATTTTTTTTATCAGCTATGTGAATAGATATCATAGGTATCGTTATTTTGTGTTAACTTTATTTTAAATTTTAATTATAGATAAACTGATATTAAATATAATTTGTTTGTAAATCTATGATTATAACGTTATAGATTTTATATATCACAGCAAAAGCATTTTTTATAAATGTACAAGACCCAGAAGCCACTCAATGTAGAGGGTTACTAAGTGAGGTTGTTGTATGGGCATAAGAGTAAGTGCAGATTATTGAGGATATGTAGGATAGGTAACAGTTGACCATAGACTTAAAGGGGTTGAGATTATCACAATCAGGGAAGCTTCCTCTCAGGCTTCCACAAAGTAGCAGTCCTCAGAAAAAAATTGTGGAATTTCCTTCTTACAAATGGAATATGAAAAGAATGAGGATGATTCAATCCTGTGTATGAGGTATGGCATGTCTTAGTTGTAAATGTCTGGACAAGTGAAACTAAGAGATGTAGCACATTTGAAAATCTTCTATGGAAGTAGCAAGAGAGTAGGGATAGGCTTGAAAATTGTGGCCAGAAAGTCAAAGTAATTCATGGTAAATAAATAGCTACTAGAAAATTAAATATTTTCTAATTTCTGACATGTGATAAATTTGTGCAAACTATAATTTCTATATAAACTTAAAAACAAATTTCACAAACAGGAGTAAAATTTCATGAAAGCTGTATTTGTCTAAAGTAAAAATGAATAAAATACTACTAACAATGTTTAACTTTCATGCATGCAAAAAAGGGTGCGTCAAAAGGACAGTTTTTTTTTTGTTGACATTATTATTAATTTGAACTACTGAGACTCACTCGGCAATGTTTATTAGATTATAAAAATATGTGAATTATGTACAATGCAATATTATTTACCATTTTATAAAGAAATAAATTTGGAAATAAATCTTTATATATAAATTTATAAAAACCTACAATTTTTAATGAATTGTTTTCTTTGACATGGATGGCAAAACATTGGTGAATTGCCAATTGATTTGAACTTTATAAAAAGGTAAATAATAAAGATATTATTGTTGGTTCATGTTTTTTTTATAATTTAGTAAATTTTTATAAATTTATGAATAAAAAAAATTATTTTCTTATTTATTTATTTATTAATTGGTAAATGATAACGTGTATAAGTTCATATATATTTGGGGTTTATTAAAATTTTAATCATCACTTTTTAAAACCAACGTTGCCCA